GCAGGGTTTGCAGATGGAACGGGGATGAATTTAAGAGTTGAGCGTTCTGCTTTCTGTTGACTGTTGCTCTCCCGCTCCCTAACGTGGGGCAATTTGTAATGGTTCATGAGTGTTTGCTGTGTGCCAGGCACTGTGCTCTCTGGGTTTTAACCCTCACAACCAAGTGACCTAGGTAGCTTTGGCGTCCCCATAGGACAGGAAATCAGAATACACTGCTCAGGATCACACAGCTGCTAAGTAGCAAGAAGTGGGAGTTGAGGTGGTTGAGCCTGTGCTCTTGATGAGTAGAGCAACCAAGCCTGCTCCCAACCAGACACACCGGTGATAACGCTTATCCTCATGTGACTGGGATTAACTGCATATTGGTGGGCTTTAGTACCACTTTGCACTGGGACTGATAAAACAGCTCTCCCATCACACCTGTTGCTCCTCATTCCAGCCACTCCTTCCTCCCACCTTATCTGCCTTAAGGAAGATAATTTCTGAGACGAATTACACTGGGCCAGGAGCTCTTGAACTAATTGTGACTCCAGCATTCCTTCCTCCTTCCAGGTCTTTCTGTAAAACTCCAGGTATCTGGACATAGTGGAAGCCCAGTAGTTATGCACCTAAAAGTTTACCTTGGAAAAACTTCCCCCAGCTACACAGAGACAGGTACAAGAATGGCCATAGCCCTGCCAGGCGTGGCTCAGCGGTTGAGCATCGACCTAGGATCCAGGAGATGGAGGTTTGATTCCTAGTCAGGGCACGTGCCCGGGCTGCGGGCTCGATCCCCAATGACTCTCATCATTGATGTTTCTGTCTGTCTTTCCTCTCCTTTCCTCTCTCTGAAATCAGTAAAGATATATTTAAAAAAAAAGGAAAAAAGAATGGCCATAGTAGTATTGTTTATGTAAACAAAAGATTGAAATTGACATTCATTCATTGACAGGCTGGATAGAGAAGCTGTGATGGAATGGTAGCTTTGTGACAGTGAAAGTGAGTGGATTCAGTATATCAAACTGTTTAGCAACAGAGCAAGTTGCAAGAGAATATACAGTATGATACCATTTACATAGGATTGAAAAATGTAAAACAACACAGGAAGTCCTCAACATCGTCCATAGGTTCTGTGACTTTAAGCAAAACGACAGATGGGCGTACCTTGTTTTATTATACCTTATTGCGCTTCACAGGTGTTGCGTTTTTATGAGTTGAAGGTAAGACCCTCCACCAGCTAAAAGATTACAACTGTCTTTATTGTGATACTTGCTTTATTGTGTGGTCTGAAACTGAACCCGCAGTATCTCTGAGGTATGATTGTATACTGAAACTAGTTTTACTCTGTGCTAATTGATATAAACAAGAGTTAAGTTCTTATGGTATCTCATCAACGTTATAATGAAATAATGTTATTTGAGGACCGGCTGTAATGTATATGTTGTTTTGTGTGTGTGTGTGTGTGTGTATATAGCGCTTAGGGATACATAACGTGTAGTAAAATGTAAAGAAGTGCTGGAGAGGAATGAGCACCCAGTTCCCGATAGTGGCTATTTCAGGGAGGTGAAGGTATTACACTGGGGGGAAGTGGAGGGATGGTCCCAGTGGTTCTTTAGGCCAAGGGAATGTGTTCCGATTAAAGGAACTGAGAGGAAGCCGGTGAAGCTTGTAGTGAGGGGAATGGGGTGGGAAGTGAGGCTGGAGAGGAAGGAAGAATGGTCTGCAAGTATCTGTAGGTGCAGGAAGGACATCTACCTTCAGTATGAGATGTGGAACCAGGGAAAGAGGGCTGTGGTTACGCATATGTGGGGGGTGGGTAGGAAGGAAGGCAGGGGACATATCCCAGGTCTCAGCATAAGCAAAGTGGGGGAGTGAATTTTCAAGAAGAGAATAGGGTTAGAAGGGGACTTTCCCCATGACACTGGAGGGTGGTTAATACAGAGAAATAGGCACTGGTCTGGAGGTAGGAAAACCAGGTTCCAGTGCCACCCAGCTAGATAGGTAAATCTTAAATCCTGTCTGCAGTTGTAAAAATAGAGACCCTTTTACACAGAGTGGCTGCAGCCCATAGTTGCCAAACCTGCACATGAAGGCTGTTCTAAGCAGACTGACGAGTCTTGCTTGCTTGGAGCTCTTAGTGTTTTGGTGGGAGGGAGATGGAAACAGAAAATGGAAAATAAATGAGCAATAATTCTTATATCAGATGCTGCTGTGCAGACAGCGAAGCAGGCTGGTTGGGTGGCCCAGGGTTGGGATTCTGAGAGGCGGTTGAAGATGCCAGTGTGAAGTCAGGGTTGGCTTGTCTAAGTGGAAGGCCCTTCATGGGGAGTGTGAGGATTTGGAATGAGATGATATGTGCAAGCATCCACACTTCCAAGAAAATTACCTGTAAGGTGAAGCTCTGAGTATTTTGCATATGTCAGATTCTGTCAATGGGCAGTGGGAAAGCTGACCCAGGCTTTGGACTCCACAGTAGGATTTAAGAAAACATCTCATGTGATTGCTTGTCTGCCTTTAGGAAGACCTTGAAGCTCTCATAGCCCATTTCCAGACACTAGATGCCAAAAAGACTCAGATTGTGGAAACACCCTGCTCTCCACCTTCACCAAGGTAAGTGAGGAAGGACTCTTCATTATAGCTTCAGACAGTTCTCTTGTATAAATTGGAAAACCGCTTTAAATAGGCAACGTTTTCATAAATAACCAGGTACTTGCGACATCTTCATCATTAAAACCTGTTCTTATTAGCTCCCACAGAACATTTTTTTACTTTCTCCTGAAGATGGCATGAGGCTATTTAGCTCTCTTGTCATGCAGAAACGTGGAATTGAGGTCTCAGCACAGGTGCTCACCTGGGAAATTGTGCCAGGTTTAAAAGCTCCCCAACTGGTAACAATTTGTGGACTAAAGTGTTGTCCTAATGAGCTTTTCTTTGGTTCTTACGGTATTTTAAAAGTGCCTATCACAGGTGGAAAACTTAAAATCACAGTAGCTTTTAGCTGCGTTTGTTTGTAATGCTTTTAAATTCTAGAGAAAAATGTGATTGTTAAATATAAATTGTGTATAAGCCATTTTAAATGAATTTGTAAATTATGTGAAAACTCCAAAGTTTTTTGTAGGATTTCTGTGTATGGATGGACCACATTTTATCCATTTACCCATTGATGGATGCTGGGTTGTTTTCATTTGGGGGCTATTGTGGATAGTGCTGTAATTAACGTTGGTGTTTTCAATTTTCCTGACTACACACCTAGGAGTGGAGAATTCTGTTTAACTTTTGAGAGACTGTTTGCCACAGCAGCGGCACTATTTTAACACTGGTTTCTTTACTGCAAAATTTCTTAGCCTGTAAGATGTTTCTGTATACAATAAATCCCCAAGAGAAAAATAGTTTTCAGATTTCCCAAATTTACTTGACCTTGAAACTTTTTTTCCCCTCGAAAAGCATCTTTTGGAATTGGCGTTATGGGATGCACCTTGGGGAATACCACTCGGGATTTTGAAGGAAGGGCATTTTCCAGTGAATTACCCTTTCATTCACCATAATAGCTTTCATTAGTTTTCACTGAAATGGTCAGGATGTATGTATAATTTCCTTATAGCTATTCTTTTGCCGTCATGTATAAAATAAGTAGAAAGTTATTTGCCATTTTTTCTAGATCAAAGGTGTCTGGGATGTATATGGAAACGCTTAAATACTGGACTTTTAAGAGCAGTTTTGATTGTGATTTAGGAGGATAGGCCCTTAAAATAGGACAGTTCTGGAAAATTTGGCACATAAGTAGGAGTATCTAGGCTTGTCACTACCTGGTGATTTTAGCCAGATACTGTGGGAGTAGCCCAGGTCCAGCCCTCCTGGGACAGGGATCCTGGGTATTAGTATCATGGCCCAGACTACGTTAAAGGGTGGTGCCTTCGCCTCTATTCTCACCCCAGGCTCCTCTGCCACAAAAGTTTAGAAAAGCCTCATTCCTGGTGAAGCACTCTGGTGGAAGAGAGAATAGCTCTCAGCTTGGGCATTAAATGGTTTGGTTTTGTGTTGATCTGCTGCTTTTGTCTCTTGTAGGTTAAATGCCTCTCTCTCCGCTCATCCTGAGAAAGATGAATTAATCCTTTTTGGAGGTGAATATTTCAATGGCCAAAAAGTAAAGTATATATATTTTTTCTTTCCTTTGCAAATTTCCATGGGTCTCATTTGGAGTAAAATTTATTTAGAGCAGTTATAGCAAATACTTGGTCCTTTAACTCCCCTCCCATGTATCCCACCTCCTGAGCCGTTAGGACAGGCATGTGACGTTGTCCTTGACAAGCTGTCAGCATCCTTTAGTGACCTTTAGGGTCACTTCTTACTGCCTGCTTGAGGTTGGCCAACATGCTACTTATTCAGGTGGATTGTTCATGCTGTTCTTTCTCGTGATGGGTTTCCAAAGTTGTTTTGAACAGGAAAAGTACTGATCAGTTTTAGATCTAATTTTTATTTTTAAACAGGCCAGAAAGACTGATGTTTCAGAGTTGTATATGAAACAGTTACAAAAGCATAAAGTTCACTTTCCCTGCATGGTGGACAGATGGTCTTTTACTTTTTGTCATCATCCCAAAGGATCCAGGGGACCAGCTGCACCCACCCTGCATTAAAACTTCTTTAGGAAATATATTTTCCAGGGAAGGCTAGTGATTGAGATCCTTTTTTCCAGTTACTGTCACTTGCATGGAAGCATCATTCATGACAGTCAAGTTCCTCTTTCTTCCTGCAGACGCATTTATATAATGAACTCTATATCTACAACATCAGGAAGGACACCTGGACCAAGGTAGAAATCCCCAATCCACCTCCGAGGCGCTGTGCTCACCAGGTATGTGTCAGTACTGACCCTTAGCCTTCCCTCTGTTCCTATTGGGGCTTTACTCTGAGGATCCTGTTAGAGACTTTTAGAATTGGTAAATGACAGGCAGCCTGGTACAGAGACTGGGTCCTGCACATGGTCCTCACTTCGCTGTTTTCTAACTTGGACTTGTTATTGAGCTTCTTCACACATCATTGTCTTTACCTGTAAGGTGAGGAGATGAACGCCTACAGCTCCAGGTGGTACAAAGATCATATGAAGTAATCCAGGTGAAAGTACCTGGTGTGGTGCCTGGCATACAGTAGTCAGCAAATTGCTTCTTCTCCATTGGTGTGAAAGAGGCTCCCGTAGGCCCAAGCTCTGGTGACTAGAGAGATGAAAACGAGAAAACAGGGTTCAAAAATAGGTGTAAATGCTGCATGGAAAATAATTATTTTGGAAGGAATGAGTCATAACTGGGGATAATGAAGGAGTAGCACTAAATCAGCAGGTTATTGATTGGTTTCAGCTTACCCCAGGAGAGCTCTGTCAGACCTGTTCACCTATCTGGGAAGGGCTCCTGGTTTCAGTTTCTGTAAAGCTACATGAGGACAGGCACTTGGTCTTGTTCATTATTATAACCCAGTACTTGGAACAGTGTCGGGGCTCAGAAAAACAATTTGAATGAGTGATAGATACCTCTCCATGGTGAGGAAGATGATTACATGAACCCACCATGGCATATGTGATTTTCCTTTGTATGATTCTGTACTCAGAAATAGCCTACTGATCTGAAATTGGGTGGGAGGAAGGACCTGCCTGCCTGAAGTGTGTGAACATCTTGTGCACAAGAAGGCTTGTAAGTATTTGGACTGGTTTATCCTCTGGAAAAGAGGAATGCACTTGCTTTCAGGTTTAAAAATTAGATTTAGTAAGCTTGGATTTTAATAAAGGGATTTGATAAGTTCAAGTTTGTTTACCAGAGCCCACTGCAGTTCTGAAGTGAATAATCTGTCCCTGGCCTCTAAGCTGAGGACTAAGTCCTGTCCTGCCCCAGTGGTGAGCACTTGGAGTCCCCAATCCTCCTGAATGTCCCATCAGATTCCTGGGTTCCAAGAATGCTGATGTCCCAATGCAGCAGTCAAGCTTCATGCCCATGTCATATAACACAGGCTAGGAGCTGCTTTTGTGTTTATTTTCCTTTCTATCTTTTTTTTTTAATGGTTATTTTATTTTGTTGTGTTTTTGGTTTTTGGTTTTTTATTGATTTCAGAGAGAGGAAGGGAGAGGGAGAGAGAATTAGAAACATCAGTGATGAGTCATTGATCGTGTGCCCCCTGCACGCCCCCTACTGGGGATTGAGGCCGCAACCCGGGCATGTGCCCTGACCAGAATCGAACAGGGATCAACCGCTGAGCCATACCAGCTGGGCTTTCTTTTCTCTTTAAAAAAATTTTTAAAAATAGATCTTTATTTATTTCAGAGAGAGGAAAGGAGAGGGAGAGAGAGAGAGATAGAAACATCAATGATGAGAGAGTCACCGATTGGCTGCCCCCTGCATGCCCCTGACTGGGGATCAGGCCTGCAACACAGGCATGTGCCCTGACCGGGAATTGAACCCTAATCGCCTGGATCCTAGGTCGACACTCAACCACTGAGCCACGCCCGGCCAGGCTCTTTTCTCTCTTCATCACAGTTATTAACTGTGTCCTTAAAGAATTAGAGTCATAAAAGTCTTTGAGATATTTAAATTCAGCTTTTTGGCAGGGTGCTCAGCAGGCTGTGATTCATGTGCAGGCCTGATGAGGACTTTATTAGTCTGCGGCTCAATAATATCCTTGTAGTTAAGGTTGACTTGCTATTTATGCTGTGAATTTCACAATAAATCATAGTGATGAGAAACAGAAAATTGGTTATAGAGTCTTTTGCCTAAAGGTCATTACAGTTCAAATTCTACCACATTAAATCTGAGACAAGTTTCCTCGTTATAGACTAGTTTAATGAATATGACGTTAGAGCAGTGGTCTTTATCTTAACCAGTTAGGGAGCAAAGGAGTAGGAAGAGAGAGCTTGTGCATGTACCCTTTATTCTTTTCTCCAGGATCTCTGGATTTGGGGATGGGGTGAAGTTTATTTTAGTGTGTAATTGGAGAGTTTAGATGGCCTTTTGAAAATGAATACAGCCCAATGAGAGAAAGTGAAGGGTAGTAACATCTGCTGAAAGTGATTAAATGACCTGGGAGAGAAGACGGGAGGTCAGACTCTCCTGCCTGGACTGTGGAGGACACGCAGTGAGACTTGAGAATCGAGGGCTGGGTGAGAAGCAGGCGGCAAATGTCGTGAGTTCCTGTTGTTGTCTTCTTCATCTAATGTTTGTATCTCCCAAAGTAATGACTGAAATTCCCTTGAAACAAAATACATTCTCATAAAAATAGAAAAAGTTTCAGATGGGTTAATAAAAAATGTCACCTGTGTTCTTATTGGCCTTTGTGCATTAAAGAGCAGTAAGTAGTTTATGGAGAAAAGTTATTATATACAAAATGTTTTTTCATGAAATAAGTGGAATTCCATTGGCAGTGTTCATTTGAACTGCTGCAAGTGTTAACTTCCAGTTAAATAATAGCTTCTTTACATTCCATCTGAGCAGGTGTTGTAAGACTCCTAGATTTTTTTTACTCAGGAAATACTGAGTATCTTTTAAGTGTAAGGCACCATTCTCGGGCTGGGACATATAAGAAAGACAAATCTGCCATTTCGTATGATGTCCCATATTTTGTGTTTTCTTTGGTCCTGATGGTGTTGCATGTTTTTAGGACTCAGCTTTCACGAAGCTGAAGCATGTGTCTGATGTCAAAATCCATTCAGAGCCTGTGTATTATTTTGGACTCCATTGGGCTTTTTTTTAATTTAATTTTTTTATTTTTATTTGAAGGGAGAGTTGCTAACTTAAAGCTTTTCAGGCATGATTTTATTCCATTTAAGACAACAAACTCAAATGCTTGGGAAGCAAATAGCCTCATGGGACAAATAGGACAGTAGATGCTGGGGAGGATGGCCTTGCCTTGCCCCCGAGCAGTGCTGTCCTACTTCATTCAGTTGGTCACAGCATAGTGCTTTGCCTGCATTATATCTAGACAGAGAATGTTGGTTGCCAGTTAGTCTAAACAGTTACTTCAAAACCACTCTGTGTATTTGTGCATGAATATATATAAAGCTGTTTTATTTTTATAGCTTCCTTTACAAAATACATAAACTAATCACCCATAAGAGAACCTGGGGGTATAATTCTTTCTGTAAGTTTGACAGTGCAAAGGGGGGCGAGCAGTGAGTAGGGGAAAGGTCTGCTTCTATCTCAGTCAAGCCAGTGACTTCGTTTCTTCTTGGAATCCAGCCATCTTTCTTCTGGAGAACTGACATAGGCCAACTTATACCTCAGTTATCTCTTCTATATGCAAAAGAATCCTTATCTTACAAGGATATTATAGGTAGTAATTTTGTTGAAATGCTTTGACTTCTTTTAAAGTAAACTCTTTAAGACATTCTTTGTGCTGCTGTTCTCATATATTTTATTTCCAAATATATTAGAAGCCCCACAGTGATACAATGCTATTGTTTTTGCTTTGGACAGTTATTACTTAAAGAAGTTTTAAAATGAGAAAGAAAAATATCTTATATTGATTTACAAATTTACCATTTTCAGCACACTTCATTCCTTGTTTAGATCTATGTTTTCATGTAGGAATGTTTTCCTTCAGCCTAAAACTTTATTTACCATTTCTTGAAGTGCAAATCTACTGGCAACACATTTTTTTCAGCTTTTTCCCTAAGTGAAAATGTCTTCAGTTTATAGTCATTCATAGGATATTTTTGCTAGATACAGCATTCTAGGTTGACAGCTCTTTTTAGCTCTTGAAAGATGTTCTGTTTTCTGGCTTAAAGTGTTCTCTCTTTTTCTTTTATAGTGTTCTAAGGAGCAGTCAGTTACTGTCATTTTTTTCTGAATTTTTCTGTATTCAGTCTGTTTCTCCCCCTCCCCGTGACAGCTTAAAAGATGGATTTTACAGCACTTTGATTTTGATGTACCTTTGTGATTTTCTTGAAGTCCAATTATATGTATGTTAGACTGTTTAATATCCAACAGGGCAATGAGTCTCTGTCTTTTTTTCCTCCCAGTCTTTTTTCTCTTTTCATTTTGATAGTTTTTATTGCTCTTCAAGGTAAGTGGATATGCTGTGAACTTGTGAATTATTAATTTTATGTATGGTATTTTTCAGCTCTAGAAATTGCTTGGGTCTTGATTATTGTTTGCATGTCTGTTTATTATGTTCACGTTTTCCTTTAAATCTTTGAACATATTTATAACTGTATTCAAGTTCTTGTCTACTGATTTTCTCATCTTTGTCATTTCTGGGTCTCTTTCTATGGACTGACATTTTTCCTTGTTATGAATCACATTTTCCCACTAGTATTGTGTGGTTAGATGCAGAACTTTGTGAATGCTGCCTGTTGACTATCTGGATTTTGTTTTCATCTATCAGCAATTGATGAGTTTTGTTTTGGCAGATGGTTAAGTCACTTACAGATCTTTGAGATGGCTTAACCCTAGGGTGTGTCCTTTTTTGGGTCTCTACTGAGTGCCCTGGTTGTTTGGTGACATCTTCCACTAATTCTGGTTGGAAATTGCCTGTCTCCAAGCCTCGTGTAAGTGAAGGTCATTTTCAAGCTTTCAGCCTCACAGTGGTGATTCTGTTCCCAGCCTCTCCTGCAGATGTGCAGCTTAGTGCTCAAAGGCTCCAGGGGACCCCATGTGGATTTCTAGGATGCTCTCTCTCCAATACTCTGCCTGCAAATTCTAGCTACTTCAGTATTCCTAAACTCTGATCTTTGCCTCCTCAGCTCAATAAGACTACTTGCTCTGTTGGGCTTCTCTGTCTGCACCAGGGTACAGAGACTGCCCCCAGAGGCATGGGTCTCACCTTTCTCATTTACTGTCCTCAGGGTCACAGTCCAATACTTTCTGTTGCCTGATT